CAAAGTATCATAATATTATACGTTTAATGGTGTCATCGTACTTACATTAAATAACAATTTCGGACGTATACGAATACGATAATACATACTTATTATTTGTGTAGTACAAAAATATCTGTACTTATGGCCAAATATTCATAAGTACATCTGAGTTTCGTATGGCCTTAGATATATGGTATTAATATTATATTCATTGGTACTCCCTATATCACCTCCCGTAAACCCCACTTCAATACAAGGCCATACACCTGAGATATTTAGTGATGCCTTAAATCGTGATCACACCATCACACTATAATACTGTCTATACTATTTCTATTTCTATAACAATACGAGCATGTTATTTTTCAAAAAGCCATCAAGCGTTTACATTGAATGAAATAGAAATTGAATTAAATCAAAATTAATAAATACCGCGTACGGTCAATGTTTACTATATTCGTATGTCAATTATCAACATGCTGTACAATGTACAAAATAGAACTCCTGCAGGTACCAGACGGCTTGAGGATAAATTATAGTTTTAAATATTTCTTATTTTAAGGAGCTTTATTATACGTGACAATCCTGTTTCTAAGWAAAAAAATGTTATTAGACTTTTCTACGAATCGTAAAATTTTTTCCTGTTATGCGTATTTCAAGCAATAAATCACTGTGTTTTTATTTTTGTCAGTGGTCCCATTGACGTCATATGTTCGTCTGCAGCGCATGCGTAGATAGACCGGTATCCGTTTACAATCGCACTAACACTAATTATTATTTACAAATGGGCGACGACGCGACTTTGTCCCTTATTATTAAGGCTGGTATTTTAATGCCCTAAAAATCCCAAAACAAATGCCCTTAAAAAATTAACTAGAGTAATAAAATGGTGTTTACGACGACAAAACTCGTACTGGACGTCGAACGATATCATCGGACATCGATTTTACCGATTTAAGATTATTTATCAGGAAATGCGGGTAGTGGTTACTCAAATCTTGTCCGATAATATAATACGAATAGTGGGTACACTAATTATCTCGAAAAGTATCAACTTTTTTTATTTTTTAAACTTCTAGGTTTATGTTTTTCTAAAACCGTATGATATTTAAATTTTTTTTACCCTTATATTTATTGGTGAAATCACTATCAACTTTTGATTTTCAAATGRTAACATATAATAAAAATATCATGAATTAATAAAACTATTTTTATTATAAATTTACGCGTTAACATTTTTATATTTCGTTGATTGGTTTGCGAGTTACAGCTCCTCAAAGTATTGGTGTTTGAAGGAGGACAGCTGGTGTTATAGTCGATAAAATATGCAGCATGTTTATTGTTTATACTGTTTCTTCATTTGTGAAGTCCAGGAGCTATAACTGATAAATTCGATACCGTACGAACTAATAGGTAACAATATCGATAACTGTTGTACTTTGTACCTGATTAGTTTAAATTAGTTTTAAAAAAAAAAATGTAAAAAAAGTTAATACTTTTCGAGATATTTAGTGTACCCAATTAAAAAAATCACCTGTATATGATTGGTTGATATGGTAAATAATTTTATTTGGTGGAAACCGATATTGGTGGAAAGGGGAAAGATACACTTTTGGTGGAAACGGGTATTGGTGGAAAAGGGAAAGGTACACTTTTGATGGAAACGGGCATCACCCCAATTACGAGTACCTAATCTATTATAAAATTTTTATAAAAACCATGTTGGTGTAAAAATCTTAAAATAAAATTTCAAATTCATATTTGGTTTCCAAAAACTCTAAAATGCCCTAAAAAAATAATAAAATGACCTAAAAACTAAAAAATCCCAAAAAATGCAAAATAAACTTTCTTATTCTCATTCATAAGTACACCTTGTGACCAGACGAGCATCGCACAGTAAGCTTTGGAAAACAATGCAAAGTATATCAAAATCCCAGTCCTACTTATTATTTAATAGACACGAGAATATGTACGGTAAAACCTCCCTATAACGGAGCAACCATAAAACGGAAATCTCCAAACTATGGAAAATAACTAGAGTCTAGAGTCCCGTATAACCTATACCTATAATAATTTATATCTAGTACATATTTAAGCCCCCCAATAACGAAAATGTCATCGTAAAAATCAGTTAATATCGAATGATTCCAWTATAAAAACGTTTTAATATATTACAGACGTATCTGAATTTGGAACAAAAATCAATTTTAGTTTAACATACCGCATAATGTTTCGATCTGACATATCGTAATAGGAATTGCTGCGGGTCATCTGAAAAATTGTATAGCCCATTATTCCTAAGAAGATGAATACGCATATCCGCCGAACYAAAAATGACGGTGCGCGTACAGTGACCATCTTCACCGGAGACTGTGAACAAAAAACATTTAAACTCGATATAATCTACAATT